TATTGAAATATGACTCTGTGCCCCACAGATATGTATAATCAACACATTTCAATAAAAAGGGGGGTTTGTTTCTTACAAGTGGATGTCCCTCGTGGTATCTCACAACGAGACACTTTGCTCACTTGTGGGAAACGGTAAACATTTGCACACTGGCTGGTAGCTCTAGTTCAGCTCAGTTATCAGACCTGTGTGCTCTTCTGTTTCTCTCCCCCTCTCCTGTCAACAGTCAGAAATGTGCATTTGAGCATTGGAAGTCTACAAGCTGAGGAGTCCACAAAGGTGCTTGAGCGAGGATACCTGCAACCGTTGCTGGTGCGCTCGTGCCTGGAGAAGCAGGCAGGCTCCTTCCCCTCTGTGTCCCTTTGGGGCTATGACATTGCTCTGAATTGTTTCTTTCAGCCGACTTTCTGTACAGAATGAGGGACTACATGCCTCCCTCCCATAAGGCCTTCGTAGAAGAAATCCACGCGGCTCCCTCGCTGAGGGATTACGTCCTGTCCTGCGGACACGGCTGCCTTCTGACAGCCTACAACCAGTGTCTGGAGGCCCTGGCAGCACTGCGCAGCTATCATGTCACCGTGGTGACCAAATATCTCATCACAGCGGCAGCCAAGGCAAAAGGCAGGAGGCCAAACCCTCTCCCAAGGCCACCTCAGGCTTTAGAATTCACAGGCACAGGTGGGACCGCAGCTTTAAGCTTCCTAAAGAGTGTGAGGGACAAGACCTTAGAGGCAATCCTGCACCCACGTGGTTAGGAGGCGGCCCTCGCCCAGCCGTGCAGAGCCTCCCTCCGGGGCAGGTGGACCTGTAGAGTGAGGGCGCAGGTTCCACCTGCGGTCACCCGAGGGACTGCCGCCCCCTTCCTGTTTCTGCTCCACAGAACACCACGTTCTCCTTCGTGGAGAGTGTATGTCTTCACAGAGGAGAGTTCGCATGGCCAAAAGCCTGCCTTCCCACCACGTGGCCTTAGTAGCAAGCAGCTGTGAACACGTCCCGCTCAGAACCCCAGGGGGGCGAGGATATCACATTCTCTTTGCCACGTCAGAGAAAATCTAAATTTTGAAAACTGAATAAAATTGCCTGTGGACAGATTACCTTGTTGATCTCTTTAATAAACAAATTCGCTTAAATATTCATTACGTTCCTACTGAGTACTGGCTCAGGGAATAGAACAGGGATTTCTGCGGGTCCAGATCAGCCCTTTTCTCCCTGAATGTTTTGAATTTGCTGGCAGGAGGTTGGAAATGCACCAGTGGAGATGTGTGAGGAAGAGGACGCTGACAATAAAGACTTGGAAGTCACCAGTGTGAAATTGAAGAGTTAATGATATGGGAACGGATGAGACTTTTCCACATGGTACACAGATTTGCAAATTCTATTTCAATTCCCTTCTTTGTTTTTAGAAGAATGATCCTCTCTCCTTATACTGAAATTCTGTGTTTCTAAGATGAATTAATTGACCCTTTGGAAGTAAAGCGT